TTTGCAGGATACAAAGCACAAAAGGACATTATCATGAGTTTATCCACTTTTAATAGCACATTCTACAATATCATAACCACATATGCTGCTAACTCAAAGCCCAATATTGCCACAAACAGGAATAATTCAGGAATAATTTTGTTGTTCAGAGGTCCAGATAAGCTGTGTATCTGCGTGAAATACGCATCAGAAATGCAGTAAACTAAAATCCAAGCGTATCAAATACGCAAAGAACATTACAGATAAGCTACAAAAATAAAACTTGTGCTTATCATCAAAATATTGTGAAGTAACCCAGCGTATTCGATTAGCAAATCAGCAACATATTTTGAAATTATAAATGGGCATTCCGTCAACCTTGCCAAACTCCACGATGACAGTTACATCATGATCATTTGCCATCACACTTTCTTGTGGAAGTATCGTGGTATTTTTGAGTCCTATAAAGCTCTCGAACCCACACGACACCAGTTTGCAGGGACTAGATGAATAGTGTTTTTAAATATTTAACTTAAATACCCACATGTGTAAAAACTAGTGGGTAACAGAAATTTGAATACCCAGATAGAATTACTGATACCCAATGATTTTAAAAAGCATGGGTAAAATACCCACAACACCAAAAGCTTATCTGGAGCTCTGGTTGTTACAATCACAATCCTTGTTAATTAACAGTACGAAATCTTAACTTGCTACTTGTTGTCATGTACTTGTATTGAATAATGCTTTTGTTCAAAAGTGCTGGATATTGTGCATATCCTAATCATCGAGCAGACGTAAGAGCCATGGAAGATTGTGTTAAAATTAAGTTCATGATGAGACCTTTTCTTGCAACCGTTTTGTTTTGGGGAAAGGTAAGAATCGAACCACAGCAATACGCAACAGATATCTTGAGTCAGAGTTGCACAAACCGTGTGCACAGTGCTTCACCGGCATTGTGGACCCTGGAAATAAGTCTGACAAATCTGCAAAAAGCGCTCGGCCTTCTGATTGGCCCAAACTGACACATGTGCCAATTTTTATTTACAGACTGGATTGGTCTATTCTTAGTACCTCCTACACTTGTGTGCCAAACAACACTTGAAAGGTAGCACCATTACAACGTATTTGGTAATGCTTCATTTATTGTTGGCTGAAGGACCAAAATGACCAAAGTCCTGGAACTACAGGCCCTCCTACAATCTTTCAGACTTGAGGATCAGAAGGCCAAATTCCTTACCCCCACTTGGGATTTGAATGTGTTACTTCGAAGACTGTGCACGCCCCCCTTCAAGTCCCTTAACGCATCTTCCTTTTTCAACCTCACCAAGAAATCAATTTTTCTTGGCCTTAGCCACTGCAGCGTGGGTTAGTGAGTTACATGCACTTGACATTATCTGTATAAGCTTTGAGCATGGTGCATAGGGAGTGGTTTTCATAGCCAAGAATCAGCTACCAGGACAACCCTATCGGTCCTTCTCCATTCCACCAATCTCTAAGATTGTCGGGGTCGAAGATGAGGGTGAACTCCTGCTGTGCCCTGTACGCGCACTATAACTTTTTAATCCGCCGCCCAAAAACTAGGCGTGGCAAGAGATAACGGTTTTTCATTCCCGCATCCCAGACGTCCACGGACGCAAGTCAGTCACATATCTCTATGGTTATGCGCAGTCATCCTGCAGGCTTAAGAGATCACTGCCCTTGAACCTCAACCATGGCTCTAACATAGCAACTATTATATTAGAGCAATCATGGAAGGATGTTCTTGAAGGTCTTCGCCAGCCATTATCTTCAAGATGTTGCACTTGAAGACATCAAAGGCGTCCGTAGCTTTGGCCCTCAGGTAGTAGCCCAGCAGGGTAACCAAACTCCGACTCAGATAATGAACTCTTCCTGTCCGGAGCCAGTCTTACCCGACTCGTGCCATGTTTATTTGACATGCCCATTAGGGGGATTTTCAAGCTTTTTAGCTTTGGCTTGGTGACACAGTTTGCTAAGATTTTAGCTAATTTCTATTTACTGTTTGTTTACATGGACTTATCCTCAATTCTCGTGTCTTTCTGTGGATAAGATTGAGCGAGGTTAACCGTCTGGCTCTTTGACTTGCCAGACAGCTCCCTTGACACAAATGTTGTTTGAAGGAATTGTATATATATATTGAGGTTTAACATCTGAAGGTATACCCACCGCCATACAGTCTGATACAGAGTAATGCAGAATAAGTAAAAAATTGAGTAAAATCTGAATATTAATTACGTTTGTATACTTCTCCTGCATTACTAAGGGCCCAACTGTCGCAGACCTGCATCCCCACCATAGCTTCAGAAAATGTTTCAGCATGGGTGACAAGCAGTAATGTGATCAGATGTGACGCCACCTCAGACGGTCACATGACGGCAGTGATGGGTTCTAGTAAAAGTAGAGGCCAATGACCTTTGGTACATTTAATGGTCCATAGCATATAATAATGATTCATGATAATTAAAGGCATAAGACAAATACATTGCAATATTTCTTAAAGTAGTTTGGTCATAGTCACACATTAAAGTATTGGATTTTTCTTGTGTAGGATGGACATAATGCTTTTCATGGAAATTTTGATGCCTTATGTTAACACATTCTTGACAAAGTAACAAAAAGTGATATTCTTCTTCCACACAACTAGCCGCCTCCTTGGTCTAGTGGTAGAGCGTCCACCCGGAAAGCAGAAGGTCCAGGGTTTGATTTTTAGCTGCGTCATACTAAAAGATGTTAAAAGATGGTACTTGTCATTACCACCCTGTCCGGCGCTCAGCAATAAGGGTTGGTAGGCTTGGAGCCAATATACTGTCTGAGTGGGGTATTCATGTTAGACTGCGGGATGGTATGTCAGTGGGCTAGCACTATAGATCAGCATAGAACACACACACCAACACACCCAACTCTCTTGCTGTTTCATTATACCGTGACAGCATCCTACTTCAACATGTTAAGAATGTGATTTGCAAAGGAAACGACTTATTGCCATCATAAATTTACCATTAGTTAAAGCAAATAACTATAAACATCACAGAATGATGTTTTAAATAGGTCATAATAATTCACCTTGGAGCTAAGTTTGGAAAATCAACAATCTGTTTTTCCCAAACGTCAAATCCAATATTATACAAGAGGTGCTTAATTTTAGACACCCATCATCTGCATCACTTCAGGCTTTCCTACCACATTAAGCTGTCATGCCGTGATATAACTGGAATACTGTTAAAAGCAGCGTTAAACCCAATTCACTCACTCCACATTCACTGTGGACAGTATTGTCTGATGTGGAAGCCTTGACCCCTAAAAACTGTTTACATGCTAGCAATTGGACAGACTCAATTTCCTTATAATTATCTACTCCCCAGATTTCCCAGATATCCCCTTGTTATGATTTCTGTGTGCATTCAGGGTTTGTCCTAGCCTCATAATCTGGAGGTCATAGGCGGATACAGCTTTTTTGAAAAGGGGGGGTGCACAATTAAAATCTATTTATTGTCTTTGGTGGTAATTTATACAGAAATAAAGATTTTGTTCGAAATAAAAAGGGGGGGTGCGGGGGTGCACCACCCCCCCCTTTTTAATTTCGAAAAAAATCAACTCTGTATCCGCCCATGGAGGTCATTATGACTCCCAAGCTGTTCTACAGGGGAGTCATAGGTCTTTTGTCATGTTTGTAGGGGGTTCATTTTCACAAAATATCAATTGATATTTGGAAATATATATTTTTTTAAACTAAAACATATTGCCTTGTTTCAATAATAATGCATTTTACATAATATTATAGGTATTTATCTGCTATGTATGCAATTGTTAATCTCATCCAATATTTTTTTTGTAGATAACTGCTAAGAAAGCAAATGCTATATTTATAAGTTGTAGCAGTATCACTAGGGTTACATGTGCTTTTATCTTACCTTACATTGAAATACTAGCTTCTGATTGGTTAAGGAGTGGGCAGTTATGTTCAATGTAACCCCATCAAGTAGCCTACCGAGAAGTCAATTGTAACACACCGTAGGTAACTTGCTTATTTCACATAAGCATCATTGAGCTGAAATGAACCAATGTTTATCAGAATGCTTTGGGTAAATGGAAGTAACTCGGTTCGTTTGTGTCGTCTGCTTGCTGTCAAAATGACTGAATCAAAGCATTTTACTCCGTGAAACTTCAGACATATATTCCGGGTGTGTATGAATGAATTTCGGTGAGATAAATTCATTGTCAACCGATCCCTCAATATGTGATTACATATGTAGTAATTGTACTAAAACTCAAGTGTTACTTTTAGAAAAATTACACTTAGATGCCTTGAGAACCATATTGTGGAGCAGTCAGAGTGCAAATTGTGATGAAACTGGATTCACTTCTTAAGTACTCACCAAAAAGTGACCTTGAACTATGTGTGAACTTATTCCATCTAATGTATTTGATGCCTCTGCATATTATACAAGGTCATGAAATAGACTCCAAATACCATTGTGTCGTACTGAATTCTCTAAGAAGTCATTTTTACCATAAGCTGTCCAAGAATGGAATAATTTGGACAAAGACCCTACTCAAACAGAATCAAACTCGTTATTTAAAATATTTTATTTGTACCAATAATAAGAGTAATGTACATAAGATATTTAAACTATTTGGAATCGTTCATTGTAAGTTAAGACTTGGATTTGGTGACGTTAATGGTCACAAGTTTGACTGTTTTATTCATGATGTTTTTCTGTGTAATTGTGGGTATAATTATGAAGGCAGTCTTCACTATATTGTCCTGATTATATGTATTAAAGATCAAATAGCTACTTTTACACCGCCTGTTTTGATTTGATACTCACCTGTATGGTAATACTAATCTGGAGATATTAATTTTAGAAGTTATGAAATCTGTTTGATAAATCTGTTTTAATCTTTCTATGTTTTCTCTCAAGCATTTTGTTGATGTTAATATTTTATAATACTGTTTCCATATCATGAACAATCAGTGTGTTTGCCTTAACCTTACTCACATTCTGACCTGGTGAGCTGTGTCGGATGGACATCGCCTGATGAACTGTTCTCAGGTGCAGATGACCACCTCATCTTGAAATGGAACTTGCTGACTGGCCTGGAGACAAGTAAATTGCTTACTCTCCCGAATGAGTGCTTCCCAACTGGTATGCACTTCTTCCCAAAGTCTGGCAGTAGTGGTGGACCAAAGAAATCTGGGGGGGATGTGTTTGCCCTCACATCTACTGATGGTCAGTAATACACAAAGCCTGTTTGTATATAGCATAAGAAAAGATACAACTTTATGATTAACAACTTCTGGTTTATTGCATTTAGCAACATTTTGATGTAGATTCTTACACTGTTAATGATAAGCAGCAGATTAACCTTGATAACAACAGCTAATGGATAACAAGTAGGACACAAGTAATTGGATGAAGCCAGATGTACAGTACAGTAAGAATAACAAATACCATACAGGTAATGAAGCAGGATGTACAGTAACGATTAGAAAGTAGTAACAAGCTGATTGGATAATTAAAAAAAATATTCCTTCATTGGATCTTCATAGGCAGACGGGATGTAATATCCTTGATCACTGTTGATCGAAGGTTTGTGGCAGGGGATTTCTATGGCTTCTGAGAGTTTTCTTTTTGTAAAGTCCTGATGCTTGGTAGAAAATGGAACACAAGATTTGGACAAACTAAATTTGGTGTCTGAAGAACTTGTGCTTGTGGTCTGAGAGGGTTGATTTGCTGTCTGCTTTGGCTGTTGAAGTTTTTTGTTGTTTGATGCTTTTATCTACTGGGCAGAAGGTTTAACAATGTACAAGTCACCACAGTCACAATTATCTTATAGATAACTCCTTTGGGGGGTTGCTTGTTGAATGGAGGGTTAAGGCCGATGGCTTGGAGGGTGGTACTAAGGGATAGGGAAGCAGTGAAGATGGTATCGATTGTAGTCACTCCAGCTTGATAAAGGTGTAGGAATCTACATTGAAACATTGAAAATAAACCAGAAGTTGTTATCAATAAAGTGGTATGTTTTCTTATGTACTCAACAACTTCTAGAATGCTAATCAAACAGTTATAATGAGAGACTCTAGGAATCTTGATCATGTTGAGGTTTCTGTCTGTAGTATTTTGATCTGAGGAACTCCCAAATATATAACTCTAAAATTAGGGTAATTGCAGTGGACCCTTGGCTATATTCATTCATTGGTAGGTATAATAAAGGGAGATATCATTGAGCATGGAAATGGAGATTATGAAAGCAAAATCTTTGGACAGATTTTGCCTTGTGGCTGTCAAAAAACTTCAGCACATGCTCAGTGCTACTCTGTTTTGAAAGTGTACGTAAATCAATTTGTTTTTTTATTAAACTGAAATTATGAAGTTTGTTTGTTTGTTGTTTTACGCTGCAGTCAGCAATATTCCAGCTATATGACAGCAGTCTGTAAATAATCGAGACAATCCAGTGATCGACATCATGAGCATCGATCCACACAATTGGAATACGATGACATTCATCAACCAAGACAGCGAGTCTGACCGCCCGATCCCATTAGTCGCCTCTTATGACAAGCATAGTTGGCTTTTACAGCAAACATTGGTTGCTGAAGACTTATTCTATGAGAAAAAACAATCCTGAAAATGTTTTCATCTTTAGATCATGGTGAAATTATCTCATCAAATCTAAACAATATAGAACTGATGGTTTCACACAACTATGACCCTGCCATTGCACCAAAACTGTTGCTGATTCAATAATGTAAAATTGTAAGCATGCTCATTAAGCATGTGATGAAATTGATGTGCTAAACTTAATAGGCATGGCAAGACGATGGAAGCCATGTAGATCATGTAGATCTCAAGGAAATGTTACATATGTCTCCTTGTCTTGACACTTTGATCCGTCATGTCAAGGGTGGAAAGGTTATCCTCAAGGTCATAGCCTGAAAAAGAAGGCTTTACTGTATGTTAATTAAACTTGGTACATCTCATCAAACTGATCTATGTAAAAGATCAAGGTCACAGCAAAGGTCACGTATATTTAAAAGTATGTTTGCTATTTTCACTAAAATGTATTCTTCTGCAAACACATCATCTTTTTATGCTTATACATGTGGTAGTTATGATATTTGATTACTTCCGTATGACAAATGTTGGCAATAATAGAATGTAATAGTAGTACTAGTAGGTCACGGTGAGCTTCATCTCACTCTGTCATTTTTAACAGAATTCTGCGCAAAGATGTGACACTCTTCTACATTTCTAGCTTCTGGTAATTTCATCTTCTGTGAGCATGGAAAGGTGTATGTTCTACAGTTACTAATACAATACCTAATTTGTCTTATTGCAAGGATAACCATGATAACAATTATAAACGTAACACATAAAAGATAATAACCCATGAATTGCTATACATATTTAAACAGGGTATGTTGATGACTGTGTATCCTTGTTATTTAATATTAAGTTAATACGTTTACTCTGCATTTATGCTTTGCAGGCAAATTCCACTTGATCAGTCGCACAGGGCGTGTTGAGAAGAGTGTGGATGCCCACAAAGGTGCTGTGTTGTCGGGGAAGTGGAGTTATGATGGAACAGCCCTTGTCACTGGTAACATCACATTATGCAGATATTAACAGTTTGTGCTAAAGCCTTTTTTCTTTTTGCGTCATTTAGAAGTATTAATATGTCAAATTTTGGTAGATAAATTTACTAGACTCGAGGTTACAAGGGGTGGCTGAAAAGTTCTGAACCTAACTATGATGGACTACGTTGATGGAGTTTGTTGCTGATTGTTTCCAACATAAAACGCCTCCCACATGTTTTTGTCAACGATGATGGAGTGCCTGGATCCCTCTTCCAGGCTTGCCCCTGGTGATGTGAGAAGTCTTCCACAGCAGAAATGATGTGGCCCCAGTGACCCAACTCACTTACTCAAAGTCACAGTTAACTTGGCATATTTTTCTTAATCGCAACTAAAATCAAACGATTTTTTAAACTTATCTTATGTCTTATCTATGCATTTCACCTTTCTTCTTCAATCCTGGTGGGGGCGTTCGGGTAGCCTAGTGGTTAAAGCGTTCGCTTGTCACGCTGAAGACCCGGGTTTGATTCCCGACATGGGTACAATGTGTGAAGCCCATGTCTGGTGTCCCCCACCGTGATATTCCTTGAATATTGCTAAAAGCTGAATAAAACCACACTCACTCACTCAAACACCTCAACACCTCAACCAAAAACATCCTAACCATAACCATGGCTATCATCACTACGAATGCCTGATTCCCGTGCAACTTGATCATGTAACGTCAGTAGCTTAATCATTGTCTTTCTTTTCTTATCGCCTTGGTGTGGAGTAGTTATTGATTTGAGAATAATATTTTGATTTTTTTTCTGTCTGTATAAGTCTGTTCAGAGAGGTTATCATCATGGATAACAACCCAAAAATGTCTAGCTTGTGCTAAATGCATATGAACGGCTCAGGATCCAAAACTGGCCAATCAACTGCTAAGGAACTCACAAAACCCATGCTAAGCTGTCAGGCCAGACGCCTCCTCTTTCAATTGTCCACCCAGTTATCTACTATGCCTACGCTGTTTTTGGAGGAAGACCTGTATCAGGGGCCTTCCTCACAGCCGATCTTACTATCAATTCATCTGCTGCAGCCCCGGAGGTGATCTGAATGACACCTTAGATCGCCCTCTTCCTTCTACAGAGACACAGGATTCACCAATATCTCCTGCAGATAGCTTGATTGTGTCAACCTAACTGATATGCTCACTTGGATTGCTGACAAGCTTGGCCTTCAACATGTTGCCGAAGAGGATCGTTTCATCATGACAGGTTGCAGTACAGACATGCATACTTTACCTCTGTCTTGAGCAAGAATATGGATCAGGCCTACAATCGTTTTCGGAGTATCAAAGATACACTCCAGTTGCCTAGATTCAACATCTTAGAGTGTGGCACATCCCTGGAACTGGATGGTGATATCCATACTATCAACCCCAAGAGGATGAGCCACACCTTAATTGTGGAAGATCATGAACTCTCTCATTTAGATACTATAATGTGACATATGCTTATATCTACGAAATATTCCAGACATAGAGAATACTACACTCATACTCGTTAGATACCATTTTTACGAAACGAATGGACTTTCTCGCTTTTGAGAATAAGTGTGGTATTTTATTTATTACCCACGTGAAATATATATTAAAGTGTAAATACTATCGTTCGTTGACAGACCAAACTGAAACTGGTTGGTCACTCGCACTGCCGGCATCCCTGCTGTGCAATCAAAATGGTTCAGTTTCCTTGATCAAAATGATCGGTTTCCTTGATCAAAATGGTTCAGTTTCCTTGATCAAATGGTTCAGTTTCCTTGATCAAAATGGTTCAGTTTCCTTGATCAAAATGGTTCAGTTTCCTTGATCAAAATGGTTCGGTTACCATTTTGGAAGAGGGATATCTGAGAGTTCGCCAAAGATGTTCATGTTAACTGTACGACCCTATAGACGTGAAAATCAACAAACTCAACGAGCTTCGAACGAAGGGCAAGGTGACCTCCGGGATAAGAAAAGACAACCGTGATCTACTCACAGCGTTTTACGCTGGAGATAGGGAATGTTTGTTCACATTTGGGATAAATTTGGGCCACATAATCAGAAGTCAGGCACACATCTATGGAGTTTTCGAATGATTTGTATAGGAAATGTTCAATATCGTCGTATTCATGAACACACAACTCCCAAAACAGTGCCACAAAGTATGCTTCGAAGGGGACACTGATGGCACAACTTGACCATCCCAAGTAGGTCTAGATATCTGTCCAGACAGTTGAAACTGACTTCATTTCACCATGCTTATCCTTTTAGGTTAAGTCAAATTGAAAGTTGTCGGGTGCGTCACGCTCATGGGGACCCTCGGTCTATTGATCGGTAGTCGTACATTGTAAATGGATATAGCTCGATTATATAATGTCTATAGAAGTTCTATGCATAACTTATATAGAATGCAAACCAAATTTGATGCGTGTGACTATCTTGTTTGGTTTAATAAAGTGTTTGTAAACATCTCTTGTGCTCATGAGATTGTTTCAGTTGTGCCTTGTAATTGCGAAATGAATGACGTCTCGCAATTTTTTATGAATGAAAAAAGTAGTCCGTGACGGAGGTCACGGTTATCCAATCAAAACGAATAAAAGGAGGTCAACCTTGTACGACACGCCTGTAACGTACAGATTTAGTATCTTACCACCTGTATCCTCATCACGTGAGTAATAAAGTCCTGGATCTGATCTCTTAACGTAGACGAAGTGCACTTCAAACTGCAACTGTACCAACTACCCTACATCTCTCTTTGCTAATGGGATTCAGAAGATAAGATAAGATAATATACAATAAGATAACACTTTATTACCCCGAAGGAAATTTGGGTTTTATCGGCACATGGTCTCAGCTTATTGACAAACACACATGCATGTAAATACGAGCATCACAAACGTAATAAACATCAAATGTGGCACTAGCTAATAAATGTTCATGAATTACCAGTATTTATCACAAGACTTATTATGAAACGGTGTACAAGCTGGATTGAATGAATTCCGGGTCCTGTTTGTTCTCAACATCAGCAATCGTAGTTGGCGACCAGAAGGAAGAAGTTGATACTCCGAATGTAAAACTTGCGAAATATCGCTTATTATTTTCTTTGCTTTATTTACTATTTGCTGTTCATAAATACTGCCGATATCCTGGAGATAGATGCCAATAATTTCATTCACCGTGTAACAGATTTTGAAGTTTGTTTTTGTTGCGAGCAGACCGGTTTCCAAACCAGCTAGTGAAGTTAAAATTCAAAATACTTGAAATAAATGTTTTATTAAACATTGACATGATGGGAGTCAATTTGAAAATGTCTTAAACGAAGCCATCTTCAAAAGTGTATGGACTGCCATCGGAAGAAATCGGCTCATGATCCCCATTGTCTCTGCCGTGTGCCCTGCTCCTTGGACCAGCCATGCTCTGAATGTACCCACTTATCCTCCAACCTTTTTATTTGTTACCTCTTGAAAAGTGCTCACCAACAACTACAGCACCAGACTTTGAATCACTCTCCTGCGGCTGTCACCTTCATCGCCTCGGCTATGTCATCGGGTGGATCCATCCTTGAGACTACCTTGCCTGCTGCGTTGCCTTTTTCATGGTCATCCCCCTTAATATCTGTTTGCTCCTGAGCTTGTCCCATGATAGCACCTATCTGCGCCTATTCAGCTTCTAAATCTGAGGAGCAGCCACTCTATGCCTCAAAGGATCAGATCCTGTGGATCATCGATGTCCTTAGACTCAAGGAGCCTGTCCCACTGCCTTCTGCAAAATGCTCTTTACATCTCAGGAACACTACAGCATCTTACATGGTACCTGTTCATCAATTGCTTGATGGTATTTCTGTGCTGTTGCTGCAGGCTTTGGATAAGGTAGTCCTTAGGGATTCGCTTGCCAAAACCACCATGACCACGGATGGCCCAGTCGTCTAAGGCACCGCAATTCGCTGTGCAGAGTTGCTTCCCTTGGGCACGCCAGAAACCTATGATTGAAGGTTCGAATCCCGGTCGCCCCGATTATGTTTCTAGGTTTGTCAGCACCATACCCGTGCCCGTGGGTTTCACCAAAGTGATAAACGTCCGAGATCTGCATCCCTTCTGTCTTTCCTCCCACATTAAGCTGACAAACCGTGATATAACTGAAATATTGTTAAAAGCAGCGTTAAACCCAACTCACTCACTTAGATTACATGGGATTTCATTTCAAATTTTAGTGCCTCCCTTTTGCTAAAACTTCTCTGCCTCAAGATAGATTAATGATCCCATATGTCTGTTGATTCTGACATTCATTTGTCCCTCCTACCATTGTCGCTTATTACACTACCTTCGTCCAGGCGTTGGTTAAGTTGATTGGCCTGCAGAAGACACATCCCCACAGTCGTGGGATCAACGTGTGGTCCATTTGCAGGATGCATTGGGGGTTTCACTACGTCGGCGATGCCTCATGCTATTCATCAGACACACCACACACCAAAATGGTTATCTTTCAAGGCTTATGGTATGATACTGTGTCTTCTTCTCTATAAATAACAGATTTCTGAGTATTTACGTGAGACAAAACATTTTTCAGGAGGCACCATTGCCAGTTATGCCATTCACTCGAATATCCTGTCAGTTTGGTTATGTTCCACCATTCTTCAGGCTTACACCTATGATGGTTTGGATCTGCCTCGGCCATTGTCGTCCACAATGGCACTTCACACAAACAACTCCATCAAAGGCATCGTCTGAGGTTGTTTTTGGCGAACCGACTCAACTTTCGCCAACTTCTACCTCCGAGATCTGTCTGTTGAGGGTGTCGAGGGAGTCCACCAGCTGGGTCCTCTCTTCTTTTCGCAGCAAGTTGTCACCCCTCCCCTTTGCCGTTGATGAATTGGAATGGAGCGCCTGCCATTTTGGACGCCCAAACCGATACTCCTGTATGTTTTTTTTTTTTCAAAAACTGTAGAATGAAAGCATTAAACTCCGTACTGAGGGTACTACGAATCCTGAAGGTAACTAT